TACTTCTGTACTTCTGGTACTTCTCCGTACTTCTTGATACTTCTTCGTACTTCTTCGTACTTTTTTGTACTTCTCCGTACTTCTGAAGTACGAAGTACGAAATACGGGATTTCGTATTTCGTACTTCATACTTCAGAAGTACGGAGAAGTACGAAGAAGTATCAAGAAGTACGGAGAAGTACCAGAAGTACAGAAGTATGCTTTTTCCCCCTTGTTTCAGCTACTCATGCACGTTCTCCTCCGATTACCACACACTCCGGAAGACACTGATGATTTACTTCAAGAGTGTCGCTCGATGTACTGCGACAACCCTACAGAGTTGGGGTTGATCGATGAGTATGAGTGGACACATACAGCACAGAATTCCATTGCGTGGTATACTCGGCCCAGCTTTCTCTTTAAGTTGCTTAACGAAGCATTGCGCTCGGAAAATATTGACAATGTGTTTCAGTTTCGTTCGTTCATCCAAAGTCTGCACGCACAGCTTGCAAACCTTCAACAGGTGCAGTTCTCAAATAGTACCACTGAAACCCTTACTTTTTACTGGGGAAACCGCATGCCGCGTCATGATTTCGAGCAAGTAAAACGGAATGTTAAGGGTTTGGTCTCAATGAACTCATTCTTTTCAACAACCCTCTTTCGAAATGTGGCCGAAATGTTCTGCAGCCACAATGCGGAGCGTCGACAATTCGAGCCCGCTCTCTTCGAAATTACCAGTTATAGTTAAATTATTATAGTTATTTTAACGATGAAACTGAAATTCTTTTTTCGATCGGCGCAGTCTTTCGTATTCTGTCCGTCGAACAACTAGATGATTCGAATCAAATACATTACGTCAGATTGGAACTGTGCACAGAAAACGAGTTGGAGGAACTGTACACATTTTTTGCGGAGTCGATCAATTCAGAAGAGGTATCTTTGCTCACATTTGGTCTTGTTCTTCGTCTGTTTGGTGATCACAAACGAACGAAAGAATATTACCAGCGTCTATCCGAGCGCTCTGCTCAGCACAATGTAAATCTCGCTAACCTTCACCACAATATGGGTGTCGCCCATGCACGCACAGGTGAATACAATGAGGCTCTAGCGCACGATTTAAATGCGCTTCAATATAACAAATCGGAAGCAAAAGACGGGCTGTCGTTGATCCTATCGTCAATCGTACAGACTTATCAAGAGCTCGGTAATTTCAAACTAGCAGAACTATACTACAAGGCGGCGATGATGACTTTAGTCAAACACATTGTTCCATTTAATCTTTTACACCCTTTCGTACCACTCATCTGTATTAAAATGGGCTATTTCTATGCGAAAATCGATTATCCAGAAAAGACACTGAACATGTATCAAAAGGGAATCGAAATATATAGCCGCATATTGCCGAGGGACCATCCGGAGATGAGCGTAGCGTGCAATAATACGGCAGGCGTCCAAGGACAAGAAAAACTGGGAGTTGGCATTGTATTACTATGAGCTATCACGTGCAATTTACGAAAAAGTTTCGCCCAGAAGCGCAGATGCAGCCACAGTCCATAACAATATTGGACTCGTCTATCATTTGAGCAATCATCCGTCTATAGCATTGGATTACTTGCAGCAAGCGATGGCGATGCGTCTCGCGATAATGCCAGAAGATCATCCAGATCTTTTCACATCCTACCAGAATATTGGCGCAGTCTATGAAAAAGTGAGAGAACCAGTGCAGGCCACTGTGTGGTACAAAAAATTGGAGACGATGTCAGCACGTCGTCTGCCCAATGGACATCCGCTACCGCGTTTTTGCACACCTCAAGCTCCGCTTATTATACGGTGCTATGTCCGATTGGAAGAAAAGCATAGACTCTTTGCTCCTCGCGGAAATCATGGTTCACAATTCCCAGAGTCTGGATACTGACAAGGCCACCCTATATGAAATATACAATACGCTCGGCTGGACATATCGACACCAAGGCAATCTCTATGCAGCACTCGATGCCTTCCACAAATCTTTCAGTGTCGTGCCAAGTGAAGCGTGCCTCCGAATCATACACGAGATTGAGCACAATCTTTGATGAAAATAAACGGTGAGAGTAGATGGTGAGTTTTTTATATATAAGCATATGGATAAAAAACGATACAGAATTCAATGGACATACAATTAAGTTTTTCAAAAGACTTGCAGAGGATCTCTACAGGATCTCTGTAAAACTTTTCTCTAATACTTAGACTTTTAATTTGAATTTTTAATGTGGATGTTTTCCCTCATTTGATTGTGTGAAAATAAAGTGATGTTTAATTAATATACTAACCAGTAGATCCTTTAAAGGTATTACTGGGTGTCTATCTGCTCACTTAAGAGGGGGTCCATGAGAAAACCGACCGGTTCTATGGAAATTGGGCAATTAGAATTTGGGCACCAGATTTTTGACATTCTCCAAATTCCATTATAATTTCGACAAATTTCGAAACAACAATGGAATTTGGACAATACTGTCGAATTTCCAAAGTTATCGAAATTCTTGCAGAATTACGACAATATAAATTATTGCTGGATATTTTCATGTCCAATTTCCAACACAGTTTGGACATGACAAATATCCAGCAATAATTTATACTGTCGTAATTCTGCAAGAATTTCGATAACTTTGGAAATTCGACAGTATTGTCCAAATTCCATTGTTCTTTCGAAATTTGTCGAAATTATAATGGAATTTGGAGAATGTCAAAATTCTGGTGCCCAAATTCTAATTGCCCAATTTCCGCTTTACCAACCGACCACATCAACCGGAGCTAAAATTTTTTCTATAGCATTGGATTACTTGCAGCAAGGGATGGCGATGCGTCTCGCGATAATGCCAGAAGATCATCCAGATCTTTTCACATCCTACCGGAATATTGGCGGTGATTGATTTCCTGCAACTTTTCAGAAAACTGGTTTTAGTCTTGGGTTTCCCGAATAAAATATTTTAGGCTTCACTTCCAAACTAGGTCAAAATTAGAAATAACTTAGTGCAAATAGAGGTCGACGAGCTCTACAAAATGATATAAGTCATGTTGAAAAAGAAGGAACCATGTTTCAGAAAAATTTGAAATGTTCCAGCTTTTCAATACAAAACCACTGACTTTTGCAACAAAAGTTGCAGAGAATCATTTCCTGACCTGGATGAATCGTAATTACATGAAGCTGAATGAAGTTATTCAGATAACCAAATATTATGAGAATATGTCACGATTGTTATTAGGCAATTAAACGACTGGTAAAAAATTCGAGATAGAGAATTGATTATTGCGAGATAAGAGTAGGCAGAGTCATTTCAACAATAGCGAATGTTCGTGGTACGATTATTTTTAATAGAATTCA